TGATCAACAGGACAGGAGGTGAGGTGATGGTACAATCCTCAAGAAGGTAGGTGAGGTTCATACCCCGCCCCTATATCTTGATAAAACAAAAAACGAAACTTTATCGCTTCGAATCGAAGAAATCATTGAGGAAGACTCACCATCAAACTACTATACAAAACGTGGTTCTGCTCATCCTCAGGCTCTCGTCGTGACAGCGCCACCCAGTCTATCTCGAGTGATGCCAACAAGTCGGTCATACACCTTACCACACCAGTTTTTGAGACCAGTCCGGGGAACTGAATAGGAAAAAATGTAAATGAAGCTCAAGCTGGTTAATATGACTATGTCTAATATCTCTTCAATACAAAGTTACTTCAAAACTACAAAATGAAAAAAAGTAAAGGCGAAAAATTCTGGAAATCTTACCGCCCTCTGTTCTTCATGTACAACGTCACCCAACAAGAGTAGTGGAGTTGACTGAAATACAGTATTCTTAGAACCAGTCTGATGCACGTGTATTGCAAGCCTCTAGACCTTTTTTAGCCCATGAATCAGCGTTTCCATTTTAGTCAAGCAGAACTGACCACTTTAGGTCAATTCTAGTTATGTGGTAGCATATATGGACAGAGGCGCACAATCTATGGAGGTTTTGTCTTCAATTTTTCTCCAGGAAGCTTTCGCCAAATTTCACGGCAACTGGGCACGCTACTCACTATAGTCGCCATGGGGAAGAATTGAGCAATAAATCTCCGTTATATAATAGATGCGCTGTCGTGTCGCTCGAGTAGCCGTAGCACGCTTGGAGAAAATACAACAAAACAAGTTAACAGGGCATTTCATCACAAACTCGGATTCTTATAAATCCAATTTTTTGATTTTCCCTCGCTCAAACAGATTGACTAATCTAACTGGTCATTTGCCTTTGATTCTTCGTTGGTTATCGGTCGGTCAAGAGCGACTACCAAACGGATTTTTCAGGGCATCAAAAGAGGCCAGAACCCAACTCGATCGCCAGCTTGATTGTCAGACTTCTTCTCGAAAGTTTTCACGGAAGGCATGAGCACCACACGAAAGGAGTGAGCTCTGTATAGAAACATTGAAACGATTTTGCCCTTCGAATGAGGAGAATTCAGTAGTATTCAATCGAATAAGCGACAGAGACGAGTGGAGACTACATTGACACTTGGAGGAGGTATTCGATGAGCAACGGGAGGAGACACCTAAGGAAATTTAGAAGTTTACTTCTCATCCTTGAACCAAATGGTTCCATCCAACTTTTTACTCGTATCCATATTATATCAAAAATATCAACGTAAAGCAGGATGTATGGCGGGTTTATAAAAAAAAAAAAAGGAAACGCCGGAATTCCCCTCCTCTTACGTATTCCTCATCGCTATTTGAGACTACTGCATGACCATCGTCATTAAGCACAAAAACTTTCAAAACGCTGCTTATTGTGCGCACATAATTCAAACCGAAACAGGTGATGCCAGGAAATATATTTTCTCCTGACCACTGGATAATTCCTGGGTCAAACTACTCTTAGTAGAGCTCATCCTTGAGTTTTAGTTCAGAAGAGAACGAGCTGTTTCGAAGCCTCAGCATAGCCAATATTTTATTACCATACCCATATAAATTTGTTAACAACACTACAAAAATATGAGGTGTTTTGTAAGCGGGAGATCTGTGATTTGAGCTTCTGTCATCCAGCACTTTCATCCATCAGCCACCACTATTATCACATCACTAGTGGTCATTACATCCTATAAATTCGTCCACTGTTGACTTGAGAACTTATAAAAAGAATTGAATGCAGCCACTAGGTTGAAAGACATCGAGTGGCCCCCAGGGAGGAGTGGCGCTCAGCGTCCCGAAGACGGCCTCGCGAGCTTTGACAACCCCAGTTATCGTCGATGCGACATCAACCAGCTATATTGCTCCTTCTGCTGCCGCCGTCGAACGACTCTTATCTGATCTCGTTTACAAGTCGTTCTCTAGCAAATTGTGATCCTACTTATTCCGCCTTTCATCACATGGACAGAGTTCAACTTAAAGCTATCTCTTTACTTGTACAACACACTATTCTGAGCCGAAGGCTCCACCATCATTGTCAAGTAGAATCCAACAATCTCCAAACTTGGTCCACTAGGTAGCAAGACTTCCTACAACATCCTAGAACCCTATACAAAGAGTTTGAAGTCACAACAGCTGATCTTCCAAAGTACTTACATCGCGATTTCTGATCTGGGAGAAATAGCAGCTTTATTTTCAAAATGCAAATTCGCCATTAGCATTAATACCTTTGTGGTCATTTTGAAGAAAGTTTGAGCCTTCTAAATTGAGCCCTTTCGATCCTTGCATTGTTTCAGACAAGGAATCCAATTAAAATTCGGTATAGAAAAAGATGAAGTGAACCCTCTGACCCAAAGCCGGATTTCAAGTTTTAAAGAAGGCACCAATACAAAACAGTCACCACCCTTGCTATAAGGATGTTGAGGCCTTGTGCTCGGCACTTACGACGAAAATTGTTCCTTCGCCTTTTATTTCTATACTTACTCCTCCTCCTCTTGCTGCTCTTTCAACAACTCAGAATCTCCCTAGACTTTTAGGGAGATTTGAGTCCAAGTAAGCGCACACAATCATAATTGATCTGATCTCAAATTGATTAATTCCCCAGATTTCTATAAATCGATGCTCCACGAGAGCAGTAGAAGATTCTTTATATGTTGTGTATGCATCCACATTTTCATATTATTTTGGCCGATTGTACACTGTGAAGTCTTCAAGCGTTATCTTAATCGCCAACGTCCCTTGCCATTATTTTTCACATTCATTGGGATTGAGTAGAAAAATTTCACATCGTTCTTTTTTGACTATCAGCTTTGCGAATATTTGCCGAGTGCATTCAAAATTTCTGTAAGGAACGTATACGCGTCACATGAGTGGAAGAATGAGGGTATTTGAACTGACCCATAAATCGTAAAATGCACCTAAAAAGTATACGAAAACTGTCAGCCAAAGAAACGGTTGTGCTGGCCCGAAACCTGATGTTGATCCAAAAGCTCAAACTTTATAATACTGAAAAAAGAAATAGACTTTGTCGTTTTGCAACATACTTTTGAAGCTTCGCAGAGTTTAAAACTTCAAAGTAATGTGACGTAAGCAGCACATAAATAGCTATCTTGAAGAAATGAATAATTTCAGATCCATGCTTTTCTCTGCTGACAGCAGTGTGGCCAATCTTACTCACACTGTTATACGGATTCAGTAAGCCGACGGACAATGTGCTTGAGCAATGCACAAGCCTTTCGACTGGTACTCTTCGTGAAGCGCATTTACCAAAAATACAAGTCAGTCCTTACAAGGAGCAAAAAAGTTGAACACTTTTTCTTCCCTAATTTTTTAAATTTCAATTCGATGTTTTAAATCATAACTGGTTTGGTTACTGTTTACTGAGCTATTCTATCGCACCTACAAGCGATTAGCAATAGGTAAATAAATAATCAAATTCCAGCCTCAGCCACTTCCTCCTTCTCCTTTCTTATGTGTCTTTCATTGTGGTATCAGGCCACAGCGTTTTTTGTGATCGAATCATTCAACTCGGACAGATTTCGACGTCAATGGCAGCGGCGACTAGCCAGCGAGCGCAATTTGTGAGCAAATTTCTTTATCTCGATTTATATCTCCTTATGGGGCTATTTTTCGTCCCATCTCCATTCCTATGTGTCCTACCCACAAAAAAAATTGCAAGGAAGAGGCTTAGCTTTTCGAAGTCCAAACTAACCTTTTTCAGATTCGTTGTGAAAAAACTATTGCCTGAGATATTCAACAATACAAAACTGCTTTTGTACATACATGATCAAAAATCACAATATCTCACAACAATTATGAATGAACGCTTAGCTGTCTACGAAAAGCAATTACAATTACGTCCGCCAATGCCTTCACTGCCGTGCACTTTCCCAAACTCCTTACTTTTCGTGAGTTCATTTCTTAATTCGTTCATTTTTACTTATTATTTTCCGCTCACCCTTTTTGTGGGAGGGAATATTTTGAGAAATTGACAGCCTTTGAAGCACCCTATTCATGAGCGAACATCAGTAAAAGCCCGGGCAAAAATGAACCCCCTGGGACTGCAAGAATATGACATCAAGGGCATGAAACACGAGGTTTCCTTCCACTATGAAATGATTAGTAATTCCTATCGACAATTCAACCACAATTTCCGCCACCAAATTGCCATTTACGGCCGGTGTCAGACTTTGCGAAATCAGCAATTTGCTAGTAGCGAATCGCTCGATTCGCCAAGTCTGGCACCGGTCTATGCGATTCAGGCGAAAGTGATCTAGCGGCAAGTGGAGGAATGCGAGCATGAATCAGGAGCATAGCGGGTCGAACTCAACCTACGCCAGGTACCTGACAGGAGTCCCGTCGCTGCGACAACAAGCGTAGCCAGACTAGACGAAGTCGCAGCCGCTAACTGCTATAATTTATGCCCAAATGAAATGGAATTAAATAGAACAAACTGTACGTCCTACATCAAACATCATGCGCTACGACTCGTCCACTGACTCTGCCTTCTTGCCGCTCGACGGGCCTTCGCTGAATCCCCACCTACGCCGGCAGTAGTCTCCACACGCCGATGATATGCAAAGGTATTTGAGTAGCAACTCCTACCTATCCCGGATCAAATCCGAGCCATGTATTTATGCCATGAGAAACAGAACGCTGAGCCGATTTTTTGCCGACGTTCCAAATCAAGGATCCCACTTCCTTGACCTTGTTCAGAGCTTTCGCTCGAGCTTCCCTATGACTAATTTTCTTTGTTTAGGTGTTCTCAACCATCACAACCATTGGCTACGGTTACATTTACCCTGTCACTAAAGCAGGACGTATACTTTCTATCATCATTAGCCTTATCGGTATTCCATTCACCTTAATCGTCATCAAGGATTTAGCCTAATGTATGCTATACGAAGTTGACCTACCATGCAAGTACTAGGTACTAGAAAACAATTTAAAACAATACAGTCTCTGTTCATAGAAAAATACTCCTAAAAAAATTTCCAGAAAAATGTTGGGCGGCTTTTCGATTCTGTACTTTACGGCCTATACATGAAGATGAGCTCGACAGAAAACTCCACGGCGAGCATGCGGAACGAAAAGACTATCGATTGCACAACGTTGAGCGTCTGCTAGCCATACCAGTTCGTTCTTATAATATATTATTGGGAGTGTTTACACGAAAAATATAGCAATAAAATTCCATGAACAAGGAGAGACTTATTGATTGTTTTGACATCCCCTTCCAACGCTTATTCTAATATGCGCCTTTTGAGAACACCCCCTCTTCGGGTGACGATGATTCTGTACACCACTATGCACGGCCCAGTACACAAACTCTACCATAGTTTTTCACCCCCCCCCCTTGCTTTTTAGCACACTTCAAAAGTCTAGAAAATAAAAAAAACCCACCTTTTTGTGCCAATCTGACTAGTGATTCTGAACAATTATCTTCTGGAAAGCAAAATTTCGCGTCATAAAGGATGTTGCAAAAATTGGTGGACAGGACACCTATTACAAAAGGAGGCGGGTCTCCAGAGCGAGCAGAGACATGTATCGCGGCGGTGGGCGCATCTCACGCCAAAGCGCAAGTTCCAACCCTGGTGCGAAACGTCACTGCTCGTGGCGAGGCCCACTCGAGAGTAAAGAAATCGGGCTACGATCCGGCGCATTTGCTGATGTCGTACGCCATATTTCCCTCTCCATTTCAAAAGACCACCTCACGCGGCCTCATTTTTGAGCACTTTCCCCCAAAATTCCTTGCTTAGTGCTATTACTCCACCGTCTCTCTTTCAGCTCCAATAGGGCAACGATTTTTCTCGTGAAACGCCCTTAAAACCAGCCACAAATCTGCCATATCTACCCTAGCTCAAAAACGGACGCGCCGAAACGGCTTTTTCGTGCCTTCTCTTCTCTTACCTCGCAAAAAAAAATCCAGTGGATATTTTTATTCTTTCGCAGTACTCCTTTATCTTCAAAGACTCAAGGGTAAAAAACACTTAAAAAAGAGTATATCTATCTATCGGGTAAGCGCGCTCAACGTGAGAACAACAAAAGCGCTAAAATATCTCCGGCGAACACCTATTTACAGCCAACTACACTTCTAGGTTTGCGTGATCACCTGTCACAGCTTCACAGTCTTTAAGAAGGAGCTCTTTACAGCGATGAGGCCATTGTGTAGCAATCTCTACTTGCTTAGCCGAACCAACTACTTACTTGGAAGTCGCCTTGCTATTCATGTTCCCAACAATGTGGCATCACCATATACCTATTTCTATTTTAGAATATAAATTCAGGTCACGGTCGCCATAATGGCTGTGGTGGGCTGGACCTGCGTGGGTTGTTTTATTGTTCACTTCTATATGCCTGATCATGACACTACTGCCACTTTCTATTTCATTTTCAATTCACTAGCCACTATTGGTCGGTGATATTCGAACCCGGAAGAAAGTTTATTTTTTTTAAATTCATATTTTTTGACTAGATATCAACAACGGTGCAGAGACTGCTATCAAAATTAATAACTCTCCATTTCGGAAGACGAGAAGAGCGTCGAGTGTACCACAAGTGAAGAAGGCCAAAAAGAGCCACTTTTTCTTGACCTCGTCATCCTGGTGTCCGGCCACTCGACGCTCTTCTTGTCTTTCGCGCAAACAGAGGGCATGAATGTAAGTGCTATAACTTCCTAGCCAACTGGCCTTTGGCGCCGATTAGTCATGAGAGCCTCTGTGGTGTATGACCACAACTCGTGCAACCTTCACAGAGAAAGATCGACGTTGGCTTGAAAATTTCTACCATTTCAGGACAACCCATCGTTCTTCTATTTGCTTTTCATTTATTTACTCATAGGACTATCGATCGTTTCGTTATTTATCAATCTCTTACACACAAAATTCAGCAGGGCTTAGGCGTTACCACGCCATTACGCCTTTGAGGTCGGTTAATTTCACAAAAAATCAATATTCTTTCAAATGGTCATTTCAGACAAAATCAGCTTGATACGGCCCACACGATAGCCAGTTTTGACAGTTATGAGGAACTGGGCATAAGCAGTGACTGCCCTCTAAATCACTTCGCCACACTCGGTATTTTGCAGACCGATGTGAGTCGAGGACTTGGCAGAGAAATTTACTACTTCCAGAAAACTCGTCCATTTAGGACAAATGTCCATTGCTTGGGATAGCTCGACGAGAATTCGCCTATATGGATGCAATTACACAAACCGAAAAGACAGTAAGTCCTTATTTTTGCATCCTTGGGCCATATCGCGACGCATCCGCATGCACAGTAGCCAGACGTACACCTGCCAGTAATTCTGTAGAATTACCAACACACCATTTTTAGGTGCCGCATGGATACCAGGCCACGCCTCCACCACCCAGCCCATCGGCCGTGCTACTACCGTATCCCCACACCTCTCATGAAGACGTCAACTCGCTTATCGTCGAAACATACGGTGTTAAACCGGCAAGACAAATTAGTTATCCACGGAAATAAATCTACTATAAAAGTGCCTCTCTAATTTCTGGCAATTTGCCCATAAAAAAACGTTCACGGAAAATTCTAGCAACAAGAATGTCAGTTGCGATCATTAGAGACAATGCACAAAATTTCACGCAACAAGATTCAGTTTCCGAAGAGAAACAAACCCACGAAAACCACACTCTGGGGACGGTCGAGGGTAGGTCGGGCGGAGACAAGGAGCGCATGGAAAGAAGTACTATTTGGGGCAGCCAGTATCAGCGAGGCATTGAAAAAATGTGGTTAAGGCGTTGGAATTGAGATAAAATGATTGAAAGAATATGATGCAGTAGAAAAGAGATATTGGCGAAGGTGGAAAACCAAAAGAGTTCCTAGTGAAGGCACTCCTAGAACCAAGTGGAATCGTTCCCGTCGCCAAATTTGTGACAGATGTACGGCGGGAATTTGAACGCGTAGCAGTCCTTCCGGTTTTTCGAATTGTTTACCAAAACAAACGCAATTTTTTGTTCTTTCCGTTCTTACCGTGAATGGTGCACCATCAAACCAGCGGTTTATGGATGAGATAGAATCATTATTTTCCCGTGGACGATTCCTTTGAAGCTTGAATACACACAACTTACCTTATGCTGTTGCGGGAAATCCACAATATCACTGGAAATGCGACGACTCAGCTCATATCCCATTTTGCTCAACACCTCTACTATCGGATCGCCACTAGTAGATGCTCCACTACCACCGACAACAACACCGCTGGTCAGCCAATCATCACCCGAATCTCTCGTATTCTGAAACAAAATATTTAAAGACAGTGGGTACAATAAATTGGATGTTCACATAAAGTCAGTGGAATCGGTGGCTAGGTGCCCAAAGAATGTGTACAATACATGCAGCACATTTCGCAGTAAAAGGCACCGAAAGAATCAGAAAAGGTCCTAATGAACGCCGCTCGTAAATCGCCCCTGATATCGTCTGCCGCCCTCAACCCGCAAAAAAAAAAAAAAAAAGTTTCCGCATCCTCTACCTGTCCTGCTCTCTAACCCTACGCCTACATAGGCTAAACAACATTTTGGCGTAGGAACTCTTCCAGCAGCAAGAGTCACGGTCGCAATGAGGCATCATGCTGCGGGTTCCCCGTCGTTTCGTTTGACTCTTTCCTTCCTTACTGCTCAATTTAGCGCTTCCGTGTGATTTTTGAGAAGACAACCCATCACTACGGTCGAGGCGCGAAGTGTTCGAACTCTGTCTACATAAAATGGTACAGGGCTTGAATGGGTCTTCTTCAAACACTTTTAGAATGATACGCTGTAGAACAAGAGGAGGGCTCAAGAAGATCTCACTGACACGGCCCGAAACTCAAGGTATGGAGTAATCTAGCGCTTTCTGAGACTGATGATCAAGTGTAGCAGTTGGTGTCTAAAATTGTAGTCCTTACCTATGTTCTAGAGCGAAAGAATATAACTTTGTATGTCATGTTCAACTTAGTTTCCGTAGTTTTTCTATTATTTTTAACGTGCGCCTTTGGCAGACAGAACTTAAGACTTCGCAAACCGAGTAACCTAGAGCTTGACTTCAACTCTACATCTGATCTCAAGTTACGAAGGAAGTAATATTGTGAAAAAAGGCACCTTTTCATCAGCTTGCACGTAGGCATCTCGCAGACATACTCGAACACTTCCGTAGATAGAAATCTGCAAGGAAATTCATCAAACGTTACATCTTCAATAGGAGTTACTCGATATTTGAACTAACTTTAGATTGCAAAGTTCGTTCTCCTGGTTGAACCAACAGCTCCACGAGAGGATTCATAAGCCTCGCTAGAGAAGCACGTAAGTCGGACACCTGCAAACGCAAAAATTTCGAAAAGCAAGCTGTCACTAGATCAGACTTATTAGCTGAACTTTCATAATACAAATAAACTGCGTAAAGAAAATGGCGCAATTAGCCTCCTATGCCCGAACTGCTGCGTTGGTAAAAAGCCCCCTACTCAGCTGATGCACTCGCCATGTGATTGGTAGGTGGTGATGAGTTGCCATTTGTGGCAAGAGTTCATAAAGGAACAGCAAGTCGGTCACATCGATGATGACACCTATTGCGGAATCTCGTCGAGCTCGAAAATCAACTGACAAAAAAGAGGGTCCCACTTGCAAATTTCGGGTCATTTCTCTTGAATCTTTCCCGACCACAGCCCTACTACCTCTACTTTTTTCAACAACGACCAATTTACCGTACAATCTACCTTGAAAGTGTTTTTGGCGGTTTTTCCAATTCTAGACTTTAAAACATTACCCTCTACACACATGTACGCGCTTTATTTAGTAATCTGATTCTGTGGTCCCGCTCACACAAAGCTATGGTTCATGTTCTTTTGGTGAGGTAGGGTTAGGGAATTTTGGAAGCTTCACGCAGAAGATCAGGCTTAGGGAAATGATTTCGCGCATTTCACTGACCATGGCCAGAGCTAATTTCTGCTTCTCTTCAGCGTCAGTCCCGCGCAGTGACAGGGTCCGCTGTCCTTGTCAGTCGTCGTGATACTTTTGCGACTTTTAGACATGTTGGTGTGACTGGGGTGTTCATCAGCCGGCCTGTCAACCTGGGCCTGACGCTGGTACTAGAACCATTTTTGCAAGGCATGGTTAACCTCGGCAGGGATCGAACTCTCGGTGCAGACATGAGTTTACACTCTTGACCACTCGCCTATCCCTGCCTTATAGCCGGAACTAATTGCATCACTGAAGTAGGAGCGATAACTTCTAGCAAACCGCGCGATATATAGATAATCGCACATATAATTAATGAAAAATTAAAAAGGAAAAACATCGAAGCCCATCAATTCCAAGAAAAACCTTACAAACCGATATTATATTTCATTCTATATTCTATCTTATTCTACATATCTTATATCGATATAACTTTTTATTAGAGCTAAAAGCAAAATAGACCTCGAGACATCACTCAAAGGGCTCCCCATCCAAACATAAAAGGAGGATTTTTATCAAAATTTATTCATTCGAAGCTTCAGTAGATTACTACTGGCGAAATTCAACAGCTCTCCAAGTATGCCGCATGTACTGAAATCCAGCCTCACCCCTCCAACAAGTTCCATCAAGATTTTTCTGGCTTGCATCTCTATTTCTATCATCAACACGTCTGCAGAACAATTTTCAGTAAAGGACTCGGTTTTTCGACATATGAGCAATGAGAAAAATTATCAAAGCAAGGTTATTCCTAAAACTATCGGACATAACCCAACAGGGTAATCGATGCTGACTAAACTTATTTATATTTACTTTTTTTACACCATAACACTTCCTACCAGATGATTAGAAAACCACTGATAGAGCGTGAGAGCAAAACCTTCTTGCGGCAATTACCGGTTACTGATCATTCAGCGGCGTAAACCAGTTGATCTCGTTCACGATTCCGGGATATCAAGACCTATTTAAGGAGAACTCACGGGCTTCTGCATGTCGCCACAAAAACATCTCCTTTAATCGTTTCAGCTTATTCTCCCTTGCAATCGACAAACTTACCTTTCAGGTATGAAAGTCTACACGGTGACCTTCGTGGCGAGTTCGCTCAGCGGCATCGCACTTGTTTGTTGCCTTTTGGCCATCGGCCAAATCTATAGCAACGTGCAAGACTTCTGGTCTGAGCTCGACATGGAGATGAGTGCTATTCGAGTAAGTAGCTCACTATTCAAATTAAAGCGCAGATAGCTAGCTCTCGAAATAATCCTATTTTTAGACCCAAACCGACGAACTTTGGAAAGACCTTGTCCACATCGGCGTAGCTCGGCGTAAGCGTGAGGTCTATGCGACAGCACCATCATCATCAGGAGGCTTCAGTGGTGGACCATCGTCAGGAGGCTTCT